AATCAGGCTGTTGTTAGCAATGGCCTCAAAAATTGTCGCATTCAGTGAACTCTGGAGTTGGTGGGGCATGGGCTGAACATAGCCAAGTTGTTTTGTACTGTTAAGCCACTGGTTATGACCAGCGGTGACTCTCCCAAGTTTTTGGTTTCAACTCCCTTTGCCAGCTATGCTATTTGGAGAGCCTACTAGGATATTGGAATGATTTTGCTTGGGGCCTTGTGTGTGCAGAAGGGATGGCCTCTGGTCTGAACATAGCTGCTAGATTACTCATGTGTGTTACTCATGTGTAGGGCAGTCATGTATCAGAGCAGAAATGGTGTCCGTCCCTCCCCTGATGTCATACTTTCCTAACCCCCTAACCCTCACAAGTGAGGATGTCCACAAAGAGCCACCTGTGCATGTGCAGCTGCTTGTACATACAGGTTTTCATGCAGGTGCCAGAGGCAGGGTTAGCCCAGGTATGTGGACATGAGTAATGCGTGAATAGGACTACTGTAAATTTGCATTTTCCTCAGTACCCTGAGTCTCTGTATGACCCAAAAGACAGAGTGGAACTAAGAGGGCCTTGAGCTCAGCGCAGTGCATGTGCAGCCAGGTGAGAGAATACGCAGCCCCCAGCACGTTTGAGGAAGAAAGCAAAAGCTGTGATATAAAAGCTGGGAAATGCAAATATATAAGCAGCACCCAGGCAGAAATAAGGTATCATCTACCCAAAGCTGAACTGCCTAGAGATGCAAACCAAGCACCACCTCTGGTGTACGTTCAGCTAAGGGCTCCTGAAGGTTCAAAAGGTTCAAGTTGTTTGCCTCTGAGAGAGCCAAATGGGGGCTAAGCATTTTGTAATAATCGGGCTATGGAAGGCCTACGCTGAAATAATTATTATACTTGATTCTTAAGCAGAAGTGAGATTTACCTCCTGATTGTGTATGCATTTTGTAGTTAGTACCTCAGAGCTACGTGAAAACTGAATGTTTCAAGATGCAGGTTTGGCCTTTATCTCAGCTTTTTTTCTTCTGAATAATGGTTGGGAATAATGGGGCTTGCTTCCCTACCTTGATTGGAATTTTCTGAAATGTGAAATGAGCACCTCCCCATTCGTCCTTCTGTGGCTTTCCTCCTGATAATTCTCCTTTGGCTGTACGTGGCTGTTTCCTGGGCCCACTGCGTTTATTTATTTCTTACACTGCTGCTGACCTTAAAGGTGAGGTCCAGCCTAGTGTTCATCCCCATGAATTGTATGTAGAGTCCAATAATAACTATTAGATGATTAGGTAGGTGTTTGGAGAAGGGAGGCAGGATGGGATCCTGTGCAGCCTCTTTAAAGTTTTCTCTGCTCTGCCTATATTCTGCCTCAAGAAGAATTTGACTAGAAAATGGTGCTTTGTATTACAGTTGCCCCAAGCAGTAATGAAAACCCTCGTTTGCCATCACTCTGAAGAGATCCATTGGGACATTTATGAACGAACTTCTGGCTGGGTGGGGGTGGGGAGGGCAAGGCTCTCTCTATGAATGCATGCAAGGGCCTTTGTTGTGTGGTGTGTCATGGCAGGAAGGTCATGGTACTGCCAGTGCACCTGACCAAAAATCTCTTCCCCTCTCAAGTCATTTGAGCTTGGCCTCATTTTGTGTGAGATTGATCACTTTTTATTGTGACTTTCTATTTTTAACTCAGTTCACCCTTAGGGAAGTAGGAGGTGGCCAAGATGGATGGTTTTTACTTGTCCTTTTTCTCCAGCCATACTTGTGTTCTTCTCTTCTCCTCCACATGACAGCTGATTAGGCACACTGACCTTTTTCATCATATCTCTTTATTTGTGTTACATAAATGTTCCTAGTTGACAGCTCTGAGGTCACCTGGGGTTTGCAGATGGCCACTGATTTTGTGTGTCTGTCTGAAAATATTCTGCCCCAGGCTTCCTCCCACCCCATTAAAAGAAAAAAGAAAAAGCTCTCTAAGGAACTGCAGCTAGAATGAGGACTTCAGAGTTGGGATTTGGTGCTGCTGCAAACCACCTTCACCAAAACTTTCACAAATCTATATTGCTATTTGAAATACATAATTAAATAGACAGTTAATTTAATGTCCAAATCCTTATTTTATATGAAGCTTTGTATTACTACAGGTCATAGCGTAAAGCCTGAATGATGAATGTGTTTAGAGTTATGAGAATGAGCCCCTGTGAGACTTAGACTTGGGTGTTCCCTCTTCCCTTTCTTCTCTAAGGAGGAGATTCGATGCTTTTATCCTCTTTTAATTTAAACATAGTTTAGCATGTTGTCTGAACCCTAAACTATGGTTCATCTTAGTATGAATAGTTGGAATAAGCCACCTTCATAATTTATGACTTGAAGTTGGCTTGTTTCCATTAACCATAGTTAAGATTAACTACAGTTTGTCCGGGGATGGGCTTGCACATTGCTTTGCATTTATTTTATTTATTGTTTACTAGCACAAAGTGCCTGGTATGGCCTGGTAGTTTTAAGAAACCAGAAAATATTGAGGTTTTTAAATGGATTGTGTAAGTTGTGCGTTTTAGGGCTGTGCGCAAACACCCACACACCAACCCAGAGCTCTGCCCTGACCCAAGAATCCCCTGGCCTGGCCCCAAATCAATTTGTGTGTGTGTGGAGAGAGCT